GAGAACAATCCCCCCCCCCCCCAACTGCCCCTTTCCCCAGCTCCAGTCCAGCTCCCACCATGGGCTGCCTGACCCCACTGCACCCACCTGGGGCAGCACCCGGAGAGCTCCCCCTACTGGTCTGCATTGTTAGCATGGAGCAGAAGGCCCAACCCTCCCGGGCAATACCATGAACATGGAGGGGAAGGCCCTGCCCCCCCAGGCCATACCATGAGCATGGAGATCCTAGTGCCCCTCCTGTGCCCAGCCCCCAGCCCTGCTCTCCTAGTGCCCCTCCTGTGCCCAGCCCCCAGCCCTGCTCTCCTAGTGCCCCTCCTGTGCCCAGCCCCCAGCCCTGCTCTCCTAGTGCCCCTCCTGTGCCCAGCCCCCAGCCCTGCTCTCCTAGTGCCCCTCCTGTGCCCAGCCCCCAGCCCTGCTCTCCTAGTGCCCCTCCTGTGCCCAGCCCCCAGCCCTGCTCTCCTAGTGCCCCTCCTGTGCCCAGCCCCCAGCCCTGCTCTCCTAGTGCCCCTCCTGTGCCCAGCCCCCAGCCCTGCTCTCCTAGTGCCCCTCCTGTGCCCAGCCCCCAGCCCTGCTCTCCTAGTGCCCCTCCTGTGCCCAGCCCCCAGCCCTGCTCTCCTAGTGCCCCTCCTGTGCCCAGCCCCCAGCCCTGCTCTCCTAGTGCCCCTCCTGTGCCCAGCCCCCAGCCCTGCTCTCCTAGTGCCCCTCCTGTGCCCAGCCCCCAGCCCTGCTCTCCTAGTGCCCCTCCTGTGCCCAGCCCCCAGCCCTGCTCTCCTAGTGCCCCTCCTGTGCCCAGCCCCCAGCCCTGCTCTCCTAGTGCCCCTCCTGTGCCCAGCCCCCAGCCCTGCTCTCCTAGTGCCCCTCCTGTGCCCAGCCCCCAGCCCTGCTCTCCTAGTGCCCCTCCTGTGCCCAGCCCCCAGCCCTGCTCTCCTAGTGCCCCTCCTGTGCCCAGCCCCCAGCCCTGCTCTCCTAGTGCCCCTCCTGTGCCCAGCCCCCAGCCCTGCTCTCCTAGTGCCCCTCCTGTGCCCAGCCCCCAGCCCTGCTCTCCTAGTGCCCCTCCTGTGCCCAGCCCCCAGCCCTGCTCTCCTAGTGCCCCTCCTGTGCCCAGCCCCCAGCCCTGCTCTCCTAGTGCCCCTCCTGTGCCCAGCCCCCAGCCCTGCTCTCCTAGTGCCCCTCCTGTGCCCAGCCCCCAGCCCTGCTCTCCTAGTGCCCCTCCTGTGCCCAGCCCCCAGCCCTGCTCTCCTAGTGCCCCTCCTGTGCCCAGCCCCCAGCCCTGCTCTCCTAGTGCCCCTCCTGTGCCCAGCCCCCAGCCCTGCTCTCCTAGTGCCCCTCCTGTGCCCAGCCCCCAGCCCTGCTCTCCTAGTGCCCCTCCTGTGCCCAGCCCCCAGCCCTGCTCTCCTAGTGCCCCTCCTGTGCCCAGCCCCCAGCCCTGCTCTCCTAGTGCCCCTCCTGTGCCCAGCCCCCAGCCCTGCTCTCCTAGTGCCCCTCCTGTGCCCAGCCCCCAGCCCTGCTCTCCTAGTGCCCCTCCTGTGCCCAGCCCCCAGCCCTGCTCTCCTAGTGCCCCTCCTGTGCCCAGCCCCCAGCCCTGCTCTCCTAGTGCCCCTCCTGTGCCCAGCCCCCAGCCCTGCTCTCCTAGTGCCCCTCCTGTGCCCAGCCCCCAGCCCTGCTCTCCTAGTGCCCCTCCTGTGCCCAGCCCCCAGCCCTGCTCTCCTAGTGCCCCTCCTGTGCCCAGCCCCCAGCCCTGCTCTCCTAGTGCCCCTCCTGTGCCCAGCCCCCAGCCCTGCTCTCCTAGTGCCCCTCCTGTGCCCAGCCCCCAGCCCTGCTCTCCTAGTGCCCCTCCTGTGCCCAGCCCCCAGCCCTGCTCTCCTAGTGCCCCTCCTGTGCCCAGCCCCCAGCCCTGCTCTCCTAGTGCCCCTCCTGTGCCCAGCCCCCAGCCCTGCTCTCCTAGTGCCCCTCCTGTGCCCAGCCCCCAGCCCTGCTCTCCTAGTGCCCCTCCTGTGCCCAGCCCCCAGCCCTGCTCTCCTAGTGCCCCTCCTGTGCCCAGCCCCCAGCCCTGCTCTCCTAGTGCCCCTCCTGTGCCCAGCCCCCAGCCCTGCTCTCCTAGTGCCCCTCCTGTGCCCAGCCCCCAGCCCTGCTCTCCTAGTGCCCCTCCTGTGCCCAGCCCCCAGCCCTGCTCTCCTAGTGCCCCTCCTGTGCCCAGCCCCCAGCCCTGCTCTCCTAGTGCCCCTCCTGTGCCCAGCCCCCCTCCCTGCTCTCCTAGTGCCCCTCCTGTGCCCAGCCCCCCTCCCTGCTCTCCTAGTGCCCCTCCTGTG